TGCTAAAGATCACTAAAATGATCCAGGATAAAGCAATGAGTGACATAAATGTCATAAATACAGACTATCACCAACAGAACAGGTCTGATTCCTGCCACCAGGCTTGTGAGAAAAACTAAATGTGACCGAATTGGTGGTCTGCGACACCTTTATATAGCATAAAGAAATTCATAAAATCTTCAGAACAAAAAGATATTTCATTATTTGTTCACATGGCCATTTTAGAAAATATAAACAAATATACCAGAAAGCAATAATTATCTAAACTCACCAGTCACATATATTTTTTTTATTTTTGGTTTTATATAAAGAACTGGCATCATATAAAACCTTAAAAGCTGCTTTTTCAAGTTAATGTTATAACCTGAGAGTCATTCCCTCAGTATACAATCAGTCTTCCGAACATCTAGAGCCACAAGAAACTGAAACAGGCAAGAAGGGATTCATAGCGTGTCATGGTGCACTCCTGTAAATTCAACACTGGGAGCCTGTGGCAGGAGGATTTCAGATTCGAGTCCAGCTGGGCAATTTAGTGAGACTTTGTTTCAAAATTTAAAAAATTTTAAAAGGGCTGAGGATGTAGGATGTAGGATGCAGTTCCACAAGAAGGGGGGGGGGTGGAAACAAAATCTATGTAAATAGGGAAGGGTGGAGGGGGTGGAGGGCGCCCGGAAAATGGGGGAAAAATAAGAACCAAGATACATCATGTACAGGTACAAGCACCCAATGATAAATGTAAACGTATTGTATACCTAAGATGTACCAATAAAATAATTAAAAAGAAAAAAAAAAAAGAAGGCCTGGGGTTCAATCCTCAGTACCTCAAAAAAAAAAAAAAAGACGAAAAAAAAGATGAAAAAAAGAAGTGATTCCTCGCTATCACTTTACAGGAGGCACTGCCCCCACAAACACCTTCATTTCAGATTTCTGGTCACCAGAACTGTGAGAAAGTGAGTTTCTGATACATGTATATGTATGTGTATATGTATAGCTGTATATGTATAGCTATATCTCTATTATCTATGATGTTGTACACATATAAAATATGCTTTTCCCTTTAAGAGCATAGCCTTTAATGCCTACATATCTCCTTACTGGAATTATATAATGATTTGCTTACAATTTCCCTGTCAGACATAGTCTTTGTGAATTTTCACTAGCATAAGTAACTAATAATCATTCCTATAAATAAACCCTTATTTTACCCTATTTACTTAAATTCTCAATAATAAAAGTACTAAACCAAAGTGCTGGAACATATTTTGATGCATAATTCCAGCGTTTCAGAAAGGCCACATTAATTTGTATCACCACTGCCACGTAGCACAAGTTACCAATTTATTGCCCTATCACCAACTCTGAACACTTTCATCCTCGAAGCAAAAATTAGTAAAAGCCAACATAATATAAAAATATAAAAGCATTTCCAAAACTCAAGCTCTACTTCATCCAAACCAAATAAATAAATGAATAATGCCACTGGAAACAAAGAACATTGTGTAAGTGTGTAAGGGTTTATCGGGGAAATTATACAACTGCCTCTGCAAACACAGCTTAAGTGTAAACCATATTGGCAGGCGTCTTGCCACACCATTCCACTATGAGGTCACTTCATTTCCATCCAAATCACCCTCACTGTATCTCTATTCTGTGACTGAAATGTAAGTTTATTGTATTGGATTTGCTTCGGAATCTCCAAACTCTAGAATGAGAGACTTCAAATTTGGTTACATTGTATAAAAAAACCCCAGTCTGTACCTTCCCAAAACAATCATGTAGATTAAGGTTGCATATCACTGACATTACCCCTTCTCTGCCAGGCATAAACAAATTTTTTTTCTTAGTAACCCCAATTTTTTGGCAAAATTACTAAGTACTTACAAAGAAGGAATATGAAGTAAAGATTTGTAAGAACCTCTGAAGATTTGACTTAATGTGATTTCTCCCCAACATCTGCCAAATATCTTTTTTTTTTTTTTGGCAAATATCTTTTCTATCAATACTCCAACAGTGCCAAGAATTTCACTTTTCTAATTTAATTTCCCCTTAAACTGCTTTGGCTGAACTGACTTACACTTTAAATAAAACTACTTTAACATAATAAAATGCCTGGTAGAAGTGGTTTGTAATCAGTCTCAAAAGTATCCAATGACATGAGTAAAAGAAAACTAAAAATAAAACCAAATTACATATTATCTGATTTCCAAAAAAATTTCTATTTTGAAAATTCAGTGATGAACAAATAATTTCTGTCTGCAAGACAGAAAAGGTCCAGATATATCTAAACATATTAAAACGGGAATGATAACTAATCAGACAAGACAAATAATTATGGGTCATTACTTGTATATTTGTTATCTTTAGTGAAGTATGGTCATACAATTAAACACAAATTCTAGGAATTATTTTAACTGTAAAGTGATACAAGAAATGATTAGACATCCTGTACATACGTATACAAAAACCTTATAAATCTCAGATCCTGGGAAGATTTTGATAATTCTTTCTCTACAGAAACAACTTTCGTAGGAACACTCATGTGTAACACACTAGAAACTAGAAGCCAGGTGTATTATCTCTTTCACACAGTTGCCTAGCCAAATCTTAAATTATTCTCCTCAAAGTTTTAAGTGCTATCCAAAGTAGAAGTACGTGTTCAGCACAAATTCTCAAAAACCTCTAACCCTGAAGACCTGCAAAAATGGTCTTGAATCCTGGACAGTCTATACCACTGGAGCCAAATAAGCATTTCAGCATCATTACTGCAGCACAAGCCATCAGAAATTCTCAAATGGAGTTAAAATATACCGGATGATAAGATAAACTTGTCCCCAAAATAAAGAAAAAAATATCCTGGATTCTCCAACCTAGTAGAAAGCCTAACCCACCTTGGCGATCTATGAAATAAACATTTTCACTTAATTGTAATTGGACTCATTTTTCCACATCAATTCTATGGCCACCAGAAATACAACCAAACACATTTTTCCTCTCTTGTCATTACCCATATACACATGTTATATGTGTGTTCTGTTTACTGGAAGCCACTGCCAAAGCTTTTAACTGTGTTTAAGAACAAACTGCTGACCCACTGGGTGGGCAGGGAAAGGGTCCAGTGTTGTGGTTTTATATAATGCTCAGCACATTAGGGGACTCACCAAATAACACATTTATTTCACTTGTGGCTTTCAGAGTTAGAAAAAAAAAGGCTAAGAGTTTTTCAAAAACACCATATAAATGATATGTGTGTGCACGCACGCAAAATTACCTGGATCATTCAAGCCAATTTTCTTTCCCTGAATTTCTAACATTATATACTTCACTCCATCTACTTTGTACACTGCACCTTGTGTACAACTTGAGTGCTGGCATTTTCCTACTGTCTTACTTTTTAAATGTTTTACTAAAAAAAAAAAAAAAAAACCTACACCTCCTAGCCATTCCTAGGTTTCTGGAGCAAGGATTATCTCGATGAGTTAAGTGAATTAAAAATATAGCAATTCTGAGAAAAGCAAACTATCGTTTAAAAAATGGTAAGTGATGAGAAATATAAATTGCAAAGCAGCCAGTAAGTTTCCAAGAAAAAAGTGGAACTTGCCATTCAAGTTTCCATGTCTTTCAAAAAAGAAATGTCAGTGGTAGTCCTACACGTGAAGTTATAAAATAACAAGCCTATAAATAACATTTTTCAAGATAATATTTAATTGGCAATTTCCTCAGGTAAGAAGGCAATTACCGGCTTATTGCAATTCACCTAGGTTGTATTATCACACTGTTATGAGAGTAAAATCTTACATTTTGCATTGTTTTTTGCATGATTTTAGGTCCCTCCTGTATCTGCCCAATTTAAATAGTTCCCATTTCACAAATGGATAACATGTGAAGATCATATACGTATTTGTGAATCTCTCCAAAACGTTTGCATTCACTCTCAAAATTTAAATTTGTACGTAAGAACGTCTCTACAATAATCCCACCATCCTAACAGCTTTAGAATCGGTTTACTTTCTGCGTTCGTCCTTTTTGAAAGGACGCAGCTATTAAAAGAACTTTATATAAATTATATTGAGATGTACACTTTCTCCATCCGCACTCTTAAATTTAAAATTCCTCGTAGAATCTCCACTACATGGGATCTCACAAAATAGGAAAAAAATACTGCTTCCTGGACTCCAGACAATGCACCTGCAGAAACAGCCATTTGATAGGCTACTACAAACATCCCGATTGCAAATTTATGGATCTTCCGTTCCTTAGCACCCCCCCACACAAACCCGCACCCACGTCCACGTTTACTAAATTTTATTTACACCGAGGGAAAGCTCCGCAGCTGCAACTGTTTTTTTTTTTTAATCGTTTCAGACACAACACATAAATGCTCAGAAGTCAAAAGCCTACTATAACATCCTCGTTGAGCATTTGGTTAATTGTTAAGTTTTTAACCCTTTTTGTTCTGCTTCTCCCATTCTACATCGTCCCTAAATTTACAAAAGCTAATCGCCCAGGTTCGGGGGTCTTTTGACTCATCGAAGAAGAATGCGGCTTATGAGTTATCTATTAATCCAAAATGTCTCAGCTAGAAAGATATTTCCCCGAGAACTTTTAACCCTGAAAGGCAGGGAGGGGGCAGGGGACCCAGATGTCTCTTAACGAGAACTTTTCCGCCAGTTTCCCTCCTTGACCACCCATCACTTCCCCCCTACTCTCCAGCTCCAGACCCAGAACTAAGTCTTGACCCTCCTGGTCCGGATCGTGAGGTCACCCAGGAGTCAGCTCTCGATTCCGCTTTTTAAAATCCCGGGCAAACAAAGCTGAGCATTATACTTACCAAAGTCTCCAAAAAGTCCTCAAAGTTACGCAATTTCAGGCACGCAGACGCACGCAGAGGCGCGCAGACACACACACACACACACACACACACACACACACACACACACGAGCGCGCGCGCGCTCCGGGGCACCCTTGCCGGGCGGTCTGGACCCGGCGACCCCAAGCCCCCCAAGCGTCCACGCTCGGGGTGTGCGGCGGGCGCCCCAGTCCGCTCCCTGCCGGTGCCCGCACTTCCGAGCCCGGGCGCACCTACCTCTTCCTCCTGCAGGTTGGCTTCGCTGGGGGTGTTCTCCTTCTCGGCTTTGCCGCCGTTGTTCATCTTCCCGGTCCTTCCTCGCCGGGCAGGGCTGGGGCGCGGGGCTGGGCGAGGGCGCGCTCGCCCACTGCTGCCTTCCCCGGGCGGCGGCGGCCCGCGACTCAGGAAGTGCGCGCGAGAGCCGGGGCCAGGCGGGGGCCGACGGAGCCGGGACGGAGGCAGGCGACCGGGACCGGGAGGGAGACCTGAAGAGGGCGGGCGGGCGTGAGGGAGGGAAGGAAGGAAAGGAGAAGAAAGGATGGGGCGAGGCGCGCTTCCCAGGAGTTGGGGATGTAGCTGAGTTGGGGCTGGGGACTGCTGCTGCTGCCCAAGCCTAGCAGCTGCCTAAGGAGGGGACGCGGGGTGGCCCGGGAGGCGGAGGAAGAAGAGGAGGAGAAGGAGGAGGAGCGGGAGGAGCGGGGCAGCGGGGTGCGGGGTGCGGGGTGCGGGCCGCGGCTGGGACGCAAGGACCCGGACCGCCGCTGAGCGTGCTCCTGGCAGGCTCCAGCAAGTACGGGATCGAAGCGGCTCCCTCTCGCGCGCCTTCCTCCCTCCCCTCGCCCGTTCCCTCCCTCTCCTCTTTCCTCCGCCCTCCCTGGACCTGGGCTGCAGCCCACGGGGACCGGACGGGGACGGCGAAGCCCCCCGCGGGAGGAGGGGCCGGATGGTGCGCGCTGGGGAGGGGCGGCCGGCCGGGCGGAAGCTCAGACCCCAGCCCGGACGAGGCCGAGTGTCTCTGGCCAGGCCCAGGGGTGCGGAGAGAATACGCACCCCAACCCTGGGTGCCCCTGAGCGGGTCAACCCGCATGTGCCTGAAAAGGGGCGGGAACCAGGCCCGGGCGGTGAGGGGACCCTATACGGGCGCGTGCCACTTTTGTTTGCCTGCTTTTCACGAAGGATTTGCACTCAGACCCCTCATCCAGCCCTTCCTGTCGCTACCACTGAGACCCACTTCTTCCCTCCCTAGTCTGCAGCTTGAAACGACAGGATGAGAGAATTCGGGTGACAGTGGCGACAGCCCACAACCAGTGGACTTTTTGGGGACATAGCTTCCACTCCACTTTAAATGCCCCTGGGGCCTATAAAACCTCTCCAGCCTAGTGGCTGAGCTATTCCTCTCTCCGAGGCTTCCGGTGGCCCCTGATCAGACTGCTCTTACAGCTCTCAGCAGACTGTTCTGAAACCAATTGTTTACCTGGCCGGTTCACTCTTGGGGAGCTCCTTCCTGGAACACAAGACCCTGCCCTGTTTGTCTTTAATCCCACGGCTATTTAAATGGACTCCTTCGTATACTATAGTTAGCTAAGTGAATGTTCCTCACTGCCAGCAGAACTGGAAGGTCAATACAGATGAACTCCTGAAGGTCAAAGCACCAAGTCCCAACTTTTGGTCTGGTCGCCCACAAACCCAGAAGCCCCACATAGCTTCTGTTTCCTCGGCTGTGAAATAGGACAGTTGTATATATCTCCCAGTATTTTAGAGATCGCGTTGATACAGCCATAACATTTAGCACTTGTTCTTGCCCAGTTTAAGTTTACAATACATCGAAGCTAACATTATTATTATTTCTATTTTCTGTTGGCCCTACAGAGCTTTTCCAATACTAGATCAATTAAGCTTTTAAACTTGACTGCTGCAAAGTTAAAATTTTTAAACTCTATGTCTCAGTAGGTTCTGCCTCACTTCTCACTCTTAGGAATTCTCTCTCATAGCATGAGGTTCTTTTCCTGCACAGCACCAATCATAATTTCTAATTATTTGCTTGCTTAACTGTTTATCTTTTTACCCCCACTAGAAATTCTTTACCCTACACTGGTTTAAGTGCTGCTGGTGATGGGGTGGAGGTGCCAGAGGTAGGAGTTGAAGATAAGAGCCCTGCCTTTCGGGAGTTTAAAGTGGTGTTGTGGAGACAAGATACCCAAAACAACTCCACAGCAACATAATCGCAGAATCCTGGTTCAAATTATAAAAAGCAAAACATGCATACACACACACACATGCACGCACACACTTTTTTTTCTTTTAAGTTTAAAGGCGCTATGAAAAGAAAAACAGTGCTGCTTGGACTTATACATTGAGTTTTTCTTGGGGATCTAGAGATTTGGAAAAAGAGTACAAGAAAAAAATGTTTCTGTCCTTTAATTGCTGTCATAATGTCATTGCTTTCCTTAGGAACAAAAGTGTAACCTGGCAAGAAATAAACCAAGAGTCTGTGGAAACTACAACCGAAGATATTCAGAAGCAAGGCTACAATTTATCTGGGGAAACTTTGTTTTGATGCATGGATTGTGTTGATTAGCGGCCCTTCCCACTGCCAGCATTTCCCTGTTACATGACGAACCACGAGGGGGCAATATCTTCCTGAGCAGTAGCTGAGTGGTGGTCTTCGACCCCTGTGCTGGCCAGTAATCCCAGGACTTTGCTCTCCTTGGCCATTCTTGCCTGTTATTGAACGCACTCACAGAAAGGCATTGTTTGGCTGGAGCTTGGCAGGGGCCCAAGAAGAATGACAGTTAATCTAGTCCTTGATGGTTCCAGTCAGACCCCACTTAAAAGTAGGTAGAATATGTTGTGTGATCTCAGGATGCTGGGAGAACTTTCCCTACCCCCATCCAGGGAAAGGTGGGTTAATTCCAAATATAGAACCTAATTTTTTTTTTTTTTTTTTTTTTGTCTTTAGGCCAAACTGGGACTTTGTCCATTGTTAAGTCAGAAACCAGGGGCCAGGGATTTAGCTCAGTGGTTTCGCCACCTGCTGAGCAAGCACAAGGACCTGAGTTCGATCCCCGGTACCAAAAAAAAAAAAAAAGTCAGAAACCTCTGGGATAAGAAACAAAAGTAAGTTCCATTACAGGAGCCTTGTCTGGTTTGTTCATTGTGTTCTCACCATCTAGACAATGCCTAACACATAGTAGGTACTCAATTACTTATAATGAATGAGCACATTAAGTCTTACTTAGCAGTTACTTTTTCTGGGGCTTGAATGACATTATCGGATTTATTCAGGATCTGGGAGGAAAGAATGAATTAGTACAGGTGTCTTAGAATGAATGGAGAGGCACAGAACGTCACTAGAGAGAGTCAGAGCAGTGGTCATTATTCTGCAGGGGGCAGGGCCTAAAAGACCTTAAACAAAATGGGACAGTTGATGAGATTTCAAGAAATAAAAGGGAAACTCACATCAGTCTATTGACACACCAGCCAGTTGAGAAGCTAGCAGGGTTTCCTAATGTCTATAGTTGGGAGGGAGAGTGCAGCATGTTTTCAGAGTGTAAGGCTGGCATAATATGCTGGAATGAAAGGGATTTGTTTCCTGTCATTTCTGCAAAGAATGGTTTAGACTTATTTGGAAGAAAAGTCAAATAATGTATAACCAACAAAACCTAAGAAAAATCTGTAAACAGATCTTCATTATTTATAAAACCTGTGACTTGAGTATGTATGTGGGGTGTGTGTATGTGTGTGCATGCACACATGCGTGTGGTGGGAGGGAAGAATGTACATTCACTCAGGCTATAAATAATCATTATGACTTGTTTACTACTTCAAAGAAAGAAAGTTTCAAAAGTGAGATCTCCTCAGTAGCAATAGTTTCCAGGCATAGTAAGAACTGTAAGACAACAAAGAGATTTTATATCCTGGAAAAATTGGGCTAATGACCAAGAAACATCTGCCCTCTCCCCTGCCCACTGCCTTACCATATTTCTGTCTGACCTACAAGGTTACATGCCAGATTCAAGGGGAAATATCATATGCACCTGTAGTTTTTATTGCTCATCACTGTTTCTCTGGCACGGTTCCTTTTGAGGCTTGCATTGAGAAATCCAAACCCATAATTATGTCTTAAATGTTTGTCTCTGGGAATTTTAGACATTAAAAGGCTATTTTGAGGCTATTTGCATGGCTCAGTCTTTGTACTTAACGCTAGCTTTGCAGCAGAAACCTGCAGTGTCTACCACATGTTGCCAAACCAAAGGAGTTATTGAGGCCAGAGGCTCTGTTCATCCTGACAACTCTCTCTCTCATCCCTCTGCTATCCTCCCCTAGGCTGTCACCATCTTCTCTTGTTCTTATTTATGCATTTTTTAATAGTGGAAAAAAATACATAAAATTTACCACCTTAACTATTTTAAGTGTACAGTTCAGTATTAAGTATATGCACACAGTTGTGTACTGTCCCCCTGATTTTACCTCCTCAGTAATTCTGAGAGGTGCTCACTTGCCTTCAGTCATTTAAGGAAGCCCAGAAAGACTAATACAGAGGACAGTATGGTGGAGGCTGCAGGTCACTGGCTTACAGCCTGAGCTGAGCTCTCAACAGACAGCCAGTACCAATGTGTCTGGTGCTATGATTTATGTACAAGCATTAGCTAGGCATGGTGGTGCATGTCTGTAATCCCAGCACTCAGGAGGCTGAGGCAGGAGTGTCATTGAGAGTTCAAGGCCAGCCTGGGCTACATAGTGAACTCAAGGCCAGCTTAAACTACAAACCAAGACCCTGCCTGAAAAAAGAATCAACCAATGAATAGTGTCCTCAAAAGACACAGGTATTGAGGGAGGGATCCCCAATGTACCAGTGTTCAGAGGTGGAGCCTAGAGAAATGACTGGATCATCAGAGTACTAATTTCATCAATGGCTTGGTGAGTTGATAGCTGAATGGGCTATTGGGTGATCTGGGCTGGGTTGGAGGAAGTAGCTCACTAGGGGCATGCCATTGAATGCTATATCTGTCCCTGGCCTCTTCTACCATTTCCTGGCTGCCATTAGATGAGCAGCTTCCTCTGCCACACCCTTCTGCCTTATTGTTTCTGCCTCTTCACAAGCTTAAAGTAGTGGAGCTGGCCAACCTTGCACTGAAACCTCTGACCCTGTGAGGCAGAATAAACCTTTTTTCCTTTAAGCTGTTTTTCTCAGGTACTTTGTCACAATGATGGAAAGCTGGCTATCACACCAGGCTTGTGAGTGAACTGTATACAAAGTAGATGCTCAACCAGGAGTTGAGCTGCCTAGCCAATCCCATGTGAAACAGGGATGATTTTTCTTCAGGAAACTATTAGCAAAAAAATGAATGCTGTTCTTTTAAGTTGCTGGGATTTTTTTGTTATACAACAATATATGACTGAAACATAATTGCATGTCTAGAAGTGGGGTCCTGGTGTGTGGTCCTACTCAGTGGCTTTGGGATCAGGTGAAAGTGGAAGCTAGCAGAACCTTGAGGGCTCTGTCAATGAAGAACACTCTTAAAGGACAGTAAGAATATTGTTATTGTAGGCTGGACCTGGTTTAGGAATTGGAAGAGCAATTAGCCAAATGAGCCTGCAGTTACATGAAAGATAGAAAAAAGTACTTAATAAACATGTAGACCTTGCTATGGAGATTTCTGGAGAAAATCTTGAAATGATTGAATGGTATTTAGTTACTTATTTTGCAGTGCTGGAGAGTGAATCCAGGGCCTCACACATGCTAGGCAAGTGCTCTACCACTGAGCTACAACCCCAGCCTAAATAGTTTCTTTTGGATGCTTATGATACACTACCAGAGAAGTGAAGTGACGTTAAAAAAAGGAAGTGTTCTATTTTCCATCAGAATTAGAAGAAACGGGACTTGGATTAGACAATTAGAGAAGCCAGGACTTGGAAGGTTTGAAAAAAAATGTTCTCATGGGACAGGGATTTAGCTCAGTGGTTCTGCCACCTGCCTCCCAAGTGCAAGGTCCTGAGTTCGATCACTGGTACCCCCCCCAAAAATGTTCTCATTCCTAGCTTCTTTAAAGGATAAAACTTAAAATTAGAAATGGCTTAAGAACAAAGGTGAAATGCGGAATGCTACCAGGAAAACATGATCTTAGGTAAAGTTCAGGATTACAATGTTGATAGAAGACCCTGGGGAAGGTGGTTTCAACAGTGGTCCCCAACTACCTGCTGGTGTTCAACCTGTGTGTGGTCCCCCTTCTTGGACTATGAACTGGACCTACTGACTTACTTTTAATTAATACAACATGGACAAAAAACAAAAAAGACTGGCTCATGTTTTACACACCCATCTTTGCTGTCACTCACTGCCTTTGATGGAAGCCAGCTGCCCCAATGTGAAGGCCACAACATGGAGAGACCCATGTGGTGAGGAATGGCGAAGACCTACATCTAGAAACCAATAAGGAACTGGCTTTCACTCCAATGACCCACAGGGAACTGAGCTCTGACCACAACCATATGAGTAAACTTGTAAATAGATTCTCCCTAGGTGGAATCTGTTGATAAATCCTGTTAGTACTAAACATTTAGATATCCCTAAATTCCATTATAAAACCCTAATCTCCAGGGTGATGGTAGTAGGGTAAGGCCTTTGAGAAGTAACTGGGTTTAGATGTGATGATGAGAGTGGCACCCCCCTGATGGAGTTACTGTCCTTAGAAGAAGAAGAAAACATGCCATAGCTTCCTTTCTCTCTGTCATGTAAGTACACAGTGAGAAGGTGGCCATCTGCAAGCCAGGAGGAGGGCCTGCAACAGGAACCAAATTGTCTAGAACCTTGATTTTGGATTTCCCAGCCTCTACAGCTGTCTGTTGCTTAAGTCACCCAGCCCACGTTATTTTATTATGGCAGCCTGTGTGGCTTAAACACTAATTGATAACCAAGAAGTGGGGTGCTATTGTAACACTAAAAGTGTAGAAGTAGCTCTATTTTTTGTTTTTTTTTCTTTTTGTGGTGTTGGGGATTGAAGCCAGAGTTTTCTGCATGCTAGGGAAACCCTCTACCACTGAGCTATATCAGCCTCTGGAACTATTTTTAGAACTAGGGAATAAGTAGACACTGGAAGAGTGTTGAGGTGCATGCCAGAAAAGCTAAGATTGCTATGACAGGATTGCTAAAGGTGATACTGGTGAGGTCTATGCATGCCCTACGGAGGTCGCAAGTTGCCCAGAACACGGTGAATCAGCCCACGCCCCAGCAACAATCCACTGGACACCACCACCACCCCGCTCCTCTATACAGCCACCTGGTTCAACACTACAAAGATGCAGAGGACACTGGACCACCAGACCACTGTACTGAGTCCTGCCACTCCCAGCCCAGAGGTAGGGGCTTCTGAGCCACCATCCCACTGCTCCTGGTCCAGAGGAAGGGGCTTCCCAGCCACCATCCCTCCC